GGGAAAGAAATCAGGATCAAAGTTAAGTCCGGGAAAGAAGGGAGGGGTGGGGGGGGAAGGTGTTTTAAGATTTTATTTTATTTCTTATTACTTCTCTCTGAGTTAATTGGTAATAAATAACATTTTCTTGAAGTCGAGTCTGTTTTGCCCGTGACGGTAAATGCTGAGTGATCTCCCTGTCCTTATCTCAACCCTACAAGCCTGTTGTTATATTTTTTTTCCTCTCCCCTGTCCAATTGAGGAGGAGGAGTGATAGAGTGGCTTTGGTGGACACCTGGCATCTGGCCAGTCTCGACCCACCACACCTGTCTAAACATACCTTATTCATCACATCTAAGTGGGAGGAAGGGTTTCTTACCAAGGGTTGTATATGGAACAATGTGTAGTATTAAATGAGTTAATGCTACTTATGAAAATCTTCATAGTTCTTCGATCCTCTGTTCATGTATATTTCACACTAAGCTTTAAAATACCATCTTATACTTTGCAAATGCTGGTGTGTTGCTTTTAAACAACCAACCAGCTACCTATTTGAATTCTTAAAAAACTGTAACAAAGGTCAGCACAAAATCAGGATCTAAAAAGCACTGAAATAAACAGAAGTATTCAGAAGATAGGTCCTCCACACCAACAAGAATTCACATTCCAAGAAGTTTTCCCTCCTATAAAATTATTTCTTCTTATTAATAATGTGGCAGCTTCTACAAGCCTGATCATAAAGCAGAATTCAGTGCTGTTATGCTTCAAACAGAATAAAGGACTGTTACGGCTCCAAATACATCATCAATCAACTAAAGACAGTATTTGTAAAAGTGAAGATCAAAGCATACAAGGATTTTAAGTTTCACTTACATCTGCACTCAGAACACAGCAGAAGAAATATTTGGAAGATAAAACAAATCTGATGGTGCCATGTAGTGTCATATAAATGTATGACTTGTCTAAACATACCCCAGCATTTTATGGCTTGATACAGCAAGACTTTTCATTCATATCAGATTGAAGTTCAATGGTTTTCTCTTTCACTTTATCTTCGAGTTCCATTAAAATCCTGGGGGAAAGGAAAAATACTTTTGAGAAAGAAAATAAATACTACTCGTAAGAGATCAAAACAAAAACATTTCCCCCAAGCTTATAAAACTGACCAGAGATTAATAGAAAATGACAGAATTTTGTGAAGTAACAAACAAACAAGTACAATTATGGTTGCTCCATCACAAAACTGCTTTGTTCATTTAGTCAGAAAAATATAATTGATTCTCATTGTTAGCGTTTATTGCATATTACAGAGAGTCAAAACAGTGACTTTCATTTGTTATTTTTGAGGCTGGGGCAAAACGAAGCCACATCTGGCTACCTAGGCGTTTATCAATTGCCCGACACATTCACAAAATTTTACTGATTTCAGCAACAATATTAAAGATCTGCTAATTCATTACCAGTGTTTTCACCTCTGTAAGTAGTTCAGAGGGGACAGATTTACCTGTATTTTTACACCTAGCTTTTATGTAATTTCAAAAGTCCAGCTCTCCCTCTCTCTCTGCCCCCAGGCAGACAGCAGAATTTGAGCTGTAATAAGCAGAGGGAAGAAAGAAGCACACCCAATGGTCTGCTACAAGGACTCAGCAGCATCCATTTCCTAGCATATTTCTCCAGACCTCCAAGAACTTCCTGCAAGAACTATCACAACATCCCAGGCCCGCAGCTTTCCTAGCAACAGTTTAGGTACTTTCAGGTCTATACAGAGCTTCGCTAGCTTACACGGGACTCTTTATGGGCCTAAGCAATTGCTCAGTTGGAGCAATAGGGTCAGACTACAAACCAGTTAAAAGTGATAGGATTATGAGAATGTCTTTACAAAAATACAGTACCATTTGCCCAGGCTAGTCCAAGATACCACAGACCTAAACAGTGAATAGATAAGGAAGAGAGTGTTTTTGCAAGTACATGGCACTGTTTATCCAAAGGAGCCATGTGTTTAGTAAGTAGTAAGACTAAGACAAGGAGATCTTGACAGATATACGACACTATTCACCAGGCCTTGTAAAACCAAAGGTGCCATATATCTCAGCAATGAGAGAATCTCGACAGGAATCAAGGACAAGACTACAAAGCTCTGTTAGACAAGACAACTTGCAAGAGACAATCAGGAGAACTCACCAGACTACAAAGCTCTGTTAGATAAGATAACCCAAAAGAAAAATCGTTAAAAAATTTCCCTCAAAAAAAGTCAAGGGAAGTCTGAACTTTTCAACTGTAGGAAACAGTGCGCAGGCTTAATAGACTTATTAATATTAACTTCTCCACCCAGGAGATGCATGATGATATGATAATGAAACATACGATGCATGATGCAAAGGGGGATACATGTTAAGGGGTACAAATATAGCATAAGTAGTAGGCATATCGGGAAGTCTGTGCCTTCCTAGTACCTTAGCCAATGGGGAACTGGAGAGGTTCCTATGCGGCCAAGAAATTAGGATAAAAAGGGGGCTGCGACCCCAGCAACTTTGAGACACCCCACAGGATATGCCCAGTGGGCTCTCCCTTTATTCGAATAAAGTTTATTTTTACAGGACTCCTCTGTCTCCTTTGTGAACACTGACCACTGGTGACAGGATTTTCCGCACAAATGGGGGCTCGTCCGGGATCCAGGGATCGGATTCCACCTTCCAGGGACGGCAGACGGTGAATGGGACTGACGGTGCGCCTCACCTGAATTTCGGTGATCAGCTCCCTTCGGTTGCTGCCGGCACTGGATGATTGATGGGGTTCCTGAGACTGTTCGGAGATAGATGAGTGGCAGACCAGAGGGGTCTGTGAAGGGGTCCACAGGGAAGAACCACTGAAATTCTCACCGCTGAGTACAAGGGGAAGGTTCTTGCAGGACACCCAGGAGGTGTGTAAAGAACCAAACCAGACTATAAGCCCGGGACAGGTGACCTAAGGTGGTCAACCTGCACGTTTGGCAGAGGGAGGACGCTCTCTCAAAACTTGTGGGCTCACAGACACCCAAGGGGGGGTTGAAAGGAATAAGGGGAGGTTTTCACAGAGCACCCAGGGGGAGTGTAAAGGGAACTGATGAGGGGAAATAGGGTCCTCAACTTGGTAAACTGCTTTGATTGGTCTCTGACTCTTGGATCGGTATTTGAACTTGTGGTTTTGTTTTGCATATTTGGAATATGGAATTGGTGTTGGTGTCCGTTTAGGGTACTGTAGTTTGTGCGGAATAATCACAACTGCAGTATTTTTGGGGTTCGAGTCCCCACCTGATTTGATAACTTTGTGATTCTGGACTGTGTGCTTTGTCTATTGGACTATGATGTTTGGTTTTATCCTGATAGTTGTGAACTTTTGAAACAGGGATTTTGCCTCCTTGCTCTGTTTGCGTTATGACTTGGGGGTTTGTGTTTTGAAGTCTAGCAGCTTTGAACCTTTCATGTGTGGAATTTGACTTCTGGCTTAGTTAGAATTACCTTTTTGGTTTATGTAAGAGAAATGGGAAACAGTGAGAGTAAATGAAAAGGAAAGAATGAAAAGGAAAATGAGCAGAGAAAGGATCCAGCAATACCCCCAAACAGCCCATTGGGGAAATTGTTACAATATTGGGATGATTTAGAGCCACACAGAGAAGTGACTAAAGAAGTTGTGGTAAAATATTGTTATTTTTTATGGCCACAATACCGATTGAATGAGAGGTACAGATGGCCCCTTTAGGTAGCAATGATATATTCTTTTGTCAGAATTTATGCCTATATTTAACACACACTGAAAAAGGACTAATTGAACAAGAATGTGGACAAATATGGTTGAGAGGGAGAATAGTTGGGAGTAGTATGATAAAGAAAATGGGAATATATGTGGCAAAGGAAGGAGAAAAGGAGGAGAATAAAATAGAGAACAAGGAAGGATCAGATGATTTCCAGTATTTATCCCCACCTTATGCATGACCTCCTCTAAATTTACCTAACCAGGAGGAGGAAGCAGCAGGAGGGCCTTCATTGTATCCTCCGATACCAGATCAGGGGACGTTGGGTTCAGGGTCTCAAAGGGCCCCAACAGCCCCTCCAGGTCATAGTAGTGAAGAGGAGAATGATTCAAAAGTGATCTCTCCACCTACAACTAGGAGAGGAACCAAATATGAGGCTCCTCGGCAATCTAAAACACAGTCTGAAAAAGTTCATCAAATGCCGTTGAGGCAGGTCCCCCTCTAGGAGGACAAGGGGGAGGTGTTGGGTTTGTTATTGTGCCTCTAACAACACATGACATAAGAGGTCTAAAGAAGGAGTTACCCCCCTACCTGGACAATGCTATTGGGGTAAGGGAGAAAATAGATGAGTACCTGGGGAATGCTGATTATACCTGGAAGGACTGGGATTTCCTCCTGGGAATCCTATTTGGACAGCAAGAAAAACGGATGATTTTACAGAAAGCCTGTCAGTTGTGGGAAGATGAACACCGACAAGCAGCAGGAGGTGCAAATGTACTCACTGTTGATGACACAATTCCTCAGGTGGACGCTAACTGGGATCCGAATAATCAGGTTACTTTGGCCCGCCTCCGGGATTATCGCGCCTATTTAATTAGGGCAATTAAAACAGCTATTCCTAGACCCAACAATGTGCTAAAAACTATGTCTTTAGAACAAGAAAAAGAGGAGAGTCCCTCCCACTGGCTGGAAAGGACTAGGGATGCCTTAAGAAAACAGAGGGGGATGGACCCTGGTGGGCCAGCCTTTGATACATTGTTGAGGGTGAAACTTGTCACCAAATCCTGGCCTAACATGAGAAGGAGAATACAGAAAGATGAGGAGTGGCAGAGCAGGCCCTTGGAAGAATTAGTTAAGAAGGCACAGCAGGTGTATGTAAGAAGGGATGAGGAAAAGGTGAGGGTGAAGGTGAAAGTTATGGCACAGTTTTTACAATGCCAAGGGTAAAAATGCTGAGACTCACAGGATCAGAAAAACGGGGGGGAACACCAGCATTTAACAAAAACATGTCTTCCTCAGCGCAGGGCGGGGCACAAACCAAGGGGTCAATTGAGAAGAAATCAGTGTGCTATCTGCAAAAAGTGAAGGGCATTGGAAGAAGGAGTGTCCACAGAGACAGGTGGACCCTTGTGAGGAGGAAGCCCACAGGTTACTGGCAATGGATTGTTAGGGGTGTCAGAGGCTCCCATTGTTTCAGGGACCCACCACCCTGGAGCCCTTGATAACTTGTAGGGTGGGTCCAGATCGAGAGGAAGTGCACTTCCTAGTGGATACGGGGGCTCTTGATCTACTTTGAACTTTATTCCAAAGGGGTAACAATTGTCAAAGGGATTTGTAACTATCCAAGGGATGAGGGGAGAGGATGAACGAGTAAGAATTATTCAGCCACTGCTAATTGATGTAGGAGAGAAATTTATAATGCATGAATTTTTGTTTGTCCCTAATTGCGATTGTAATTTATTGGGGAGGGATTTAATGGCTAAACTGGGAATGCAAATTAATATCACAAAGGATAATGAGGAAGCAAATACTGTGGTGCCTTTGTACAAACCATCTGATAAAGTTTATGCTAAAATAAACCCAGAAGTATGGGCAGTCCCAGGGAAGTATGGAAAATTAGATATGGAGCCCCTTCAAATTATTTTGAAACAGCCTGGTCAAGTAATCTCTAAAAAGCAATACCCTATTTCAAAAGAAGGAAGGAAAGGATTACAGCCCATTATTGAGTCTTTACTACAGGAAGGTCTTTTGGAACCTTGTATGTCTCCCTGTAACACTCCCATTCTGCCAGTTAAGAAACCGGATGGGACCTATAGGATGATACAAGATCGAAGAATAATAAATGAGATTATTAAACCAAGGCATCCCGCAGTCCCAGATCCCTATATTATTTTAAACCGTATTCCCTCCACACATCATTACTATTCAATGCCTGACTTAAAAGATGCTTTTGGGGGATGCCCCCTCACAGAGGATAGTAAATACCATTGAGAACAAGAGGAAAAAGGGAAAATAATTAAACAGTTAACGTGGGCAGTCCTTCCGCAGGGATATACGGAGGCACCAGTCTTGTTCGGGCAAGCTTTACAAGAAACACTGAAAGAGTTTACTCCGTCCCCAGAGATTAAAAATTACTGCAATATGTGGATGATTTACTCCTGACAGGAGAACAGGAGGAAGTAGTAGCAGAAGCCACAGTGCAATTGCTTCATTTTCTAGCTAAAAAGGGGCTTAGAGTATCTGAAAAGAAGGCACAACTGGTGGAAAGGAAGGTTAAATATTTGGGACATATTTTGACGAAAGGCTTGTGATATATTGATCCAGAAAGGATCCAAGGGGTTGTAGAAATACCATTACCTAAGACTAAAAAAGAACTGCGACAATTTCTAGGGTTAACAAGGTATTGCAGAACGTGGATTGAAGATTTTTCTGTTTTCGCTAGACCCTTGTATAATTTTTTTTTTGATACAAGACAGTCCCAATGTCATAGTATGGTCACCAGAGGGGAGGCAGAGCTTTGAAGCATTGAAAAGCAAGTTAACTGGAGCTCCAGCCCTGGCCCTTCCAGATTGGGAAAAAGAATTTGAATTATATGTGGATGTTAAACAGGGCCATGCTGAAGGAATTTTAGTGCAAGAACACAGAGGCAGTCGGAGACCAGTAGCCTATTTTTCTAAAATGTTAGATCCTGTGGTCAGGGGGTAGCCTTATTGCCTGCAAAATTGTGCAGCCACAGCCTTAATGGTGACTGAAGCCTGAAAACTAACAGCAAGAGGATCTCTCATTGTTGAAGTTTCTTATCATATTAAGGCATTGTTAACTGAGAGAGCTTCTAAATGGATGACTAGTGCCAGATTGTTACAATATGAAACTTGTTTAATGGAACAAGAGAATTTAGAATTAAGAAGCGGGGAAGGGTTTAACCTGGCCTCCTGTTTAACTGGTCCAGAGGAAAGGGGCCTGGAGGAAATCCATGACTGTATACAAGTAATAGATCTTCAGACCTGGGTTGGAGAAGAACTACAAGATACTCCTTAGCCAAATGGAGAAAATGTGTTTATCGATGGATCTTCAGGAGTAATAGAAGGGAAACAACTTCAGGATATGCTGTAATAGAAGGGAGAAGACTGCAGGAAGGAGGAAGACTACACTCCACCTGGTCAGCACAGACTGCGGAATTATATGCCTTAATAAGGGCCTGTGAATTGTATCAGGGAAGAGTGGTAAACATATTGACAGATTCAAAATATGCATATGGGGTAGTTCATATGTTCGGGAAATTATGGGAGGAAAGAGGGTTATTAACATGCAGAGGAAAAACACTGGCACATGAGCATTTAATTATTTGCCTTTTAAAGGTGGTGAACTTACCAAGGAAGGTGGTTATAATACATGTCAGGTCACATTTGGTGGGAGATTAGGAGGAGAAAATAGTTAGTTGACTGGCAGATGAAGCAGCTCAGAAAGCAGCACTTCTATCAAAAGTATCTAAGATTCTCCCTTTGCTCCCAGTGACGCAACCGCTACCGGAGAAAATGTGTTTTCCACCAGAGGAATTAGAGATAATTAAAAATAGTGGGGCAGAAGAAAGGGAAGATAATTGGTTCGCAAAGGATGGTAAACAATGTTTTGGGCATTGGCCCTGCAGATATTGAAATCATCTCCATGAAGGGAGTCACTGGGGTTCTCGAGGACTGGCAGAAGCCTTCCAGTGACGCAACCGCTACCGGAGAAAATGTGTTTTCCACCAGAGGAATTAGAGATAATTAAAAATAGTGGGGCAGAAGAAAGGGAAGATAATTGGTTCGCAAAGGATGGTAAACAATGTTTTGGGCATTGGCCCTGCAGATATTGAAATCATCTCCATGAAGGGAGTCACTGGGGTTCTCGAGGACTGGCAGAAGCCTTCCTTAAAATGTACACCTCCATGAAGGGAGTCACTGGGGTTCTCAAGGACTGGCAGAAGCCTTCCTTAAAATGTATGCTGCCATAGGTCTTTTTGGTTTAGCAAAAAGAGCTGGTGAAGGTTGTTTGATTTGTGCCAAAGTTAACAACCGGGTTGCAAGGGAAGTTGCTAGGGGAGGGCGACCCTGGGCTGTACGCCGGTTTCAACGATGTCAGGTGGATTTTACTTAAATGCCCCGAGCGACAAGGTTTAAATATATTTTGGTCATAGTATGTCAATTAACCAGATGGCCAGAAGCATCTCCGGTTGCCTCAGCAAACACTGGATCAGTCATTAAAGTGTTTCTGGAACAAATAGTCCCAAGATATGGAATAGTGGAGGCAGTAGACTCAGACAGGGGAACTCATTTTACAGGAAAAGTTCTTCAAGAGGTTATGGAGGCTTTGGGGATACAATGGGATTTACACACACCAAGGCATCCTCAAAGTTCAGGCTGGGTGGAAAGAATGAACAGGGAAATCAAGAAACATATTTTAAAATTAGTGCTAGAAACTAAGATGCCATGAGTACGGCTTTTACCATTAGCTTTGGCCAGAATACTGGCCAGACCTAGGGGAGATATTCAACTATCCCCATTTGAGTTAATGTTTGGAATCCCTCACCCTGCCAACTCTCGACCCAGTGGGGAGGTGGAGATAAGTGATGTATATTTAAAACAATATGTGGCCAGAATACTGTCTCTTGTAAAATCTCTTCGGGAAGCTCAGCTGGCACAGACCCTGCCTTTGGACTTTGCTGTTCATAGCATCCAAACAGGAGACTGGGTCCTGGTTAAGGAGTGCAAAGAGGCACCATTAGTGGCAACGTGACGTGGAGCATACTAAGTGATGTTAACCACAGAAACAGCAGTCAAGACAGCAGAGCTCGGGTGGACTCATCATAGCCAAGTCAAGACCTCCAAAGCCCCAGAAAACTGGACTTCTAAGCTGGAAGAAAAGGATGGGAGGCTGCAATTAACTCTTCGCAAGGGTGGATCAGACCAATAGTCGGCAAGGAGTCCTGTGTGTTTACCCACGGATTATCCATTGAACTGGTCTGTAAAGACTTTCCTCCTCTGGAATCTCCAGTGACTGGTGGGCTGGTACTAACGGGCATGCTGTCATTGCTTTCTATATTCTGAATTGTTTCTGTGTGTTTATTCACCACACCTGGAGCAGAGAGCAACATGGTATCTTTGATAATAATAATTATGTCTTTATATCGTTGGCAGGGTCAAGGTCAAGAGTGAGAAACCAAATTTTTAAGTTTAGGGGAAGAAATAGCCAAATCCTTTAACCTCAGTAATTGCTGGGTTTGCGGAAGTCCAGGAGGATCTGAACACTGGCCATGGGTAGCCCAGCCTGTCCAATCTAAATGGTGGGTTAGTGATTTGAGTACAATCCACAATGGAACTGAATTCTGGACCACAGAGGATAGCCCGTGGCAACTCCGTTATCCTGGGAAAGGCATTTATTGTCTTAACAGGACAAGGCAGGGGGGAGTATATCTGGGGAAATGTGTTTGTGAATGGACCCTGTCCCCAGGGTATGATTGTTATGATCCCTACTGCCATACTCATGATTGTGCTCAGTATCAGGGGAAATGGAATCAAACGCATGTGAAACTCCGTAATAATAGTTGAGTAAAGTGTTCATATCAACAGTTTTGGCTGGAAGGATGTAAAGCCATAGCAAGGGATGGGCAATTTGATGCCCTGTTTGTAGCCTGTCAGCAAGATAACACCACAAGTAAAGACCATTTAGTCCGGATGTATCAATGGCAATGACAACATCAAAATGGGACTAGGACCCATTTCTGGAAAGTTTGGTCTAGATCTAATCAAACTGGGAAGGGAATGTGGGCATGTAATTGTAAATGGAAAAAGACCGCAGGAGCATGGAAATGTGACTATTGTGGGTTCAACGGTGAGCTGAATGTTGTTGGGGGGCCTTTAGGATCCGGGAATCACTTGTATTTTGAACAACCAATAGATAATGAAACATGGCAAGGTCCCTTTTCCAGTGGAACTTGGGCTCTGAAAGGTCATTACTGGATTTGTGGACAACATGCTTATCGGAGGTTACCTCCAAATTGGTCAGGGATATGTTATATAGGATGTATTAGGCCACATTTTTTTCTGTTATCACAAGGTCAGGGAAATCACCTAGGGGTTAAAGTGTATGATGACTTGGCATGAATGCCCTCTGAAAGTATACATTCCTCTCTGACTACAGAAAAAACTAGGTAAAATTGAGACCTTGAAGACGCCCTGTGAGACCTTGAAACAGTCCATAAAAACTGTTGGACTTCAGGGTCAATAGGCTAATCTGGTTATTTGTCTGCACAAGAGCAGCTTCAGAGTAGTTTTCACCAAATACAGCTACATATTTGTATCAGCTCAGCATCTAGTCCCATGTGTTTTGGATCACCTGTGAGTAATTAATGGGATTATTCACAAAATCAGTAACTCAATTGCATTCTCTAATACATGGCTATTTAGCAGGCATTAATATTTCATTAAAATTCATGTTTATTATTGGCTCAGTAAGCAAATTGTTATAATTTAATTATATCTACACTGCTTTTCAACTAATCCATTGTCATTAATCACTCCTTCCCTTAGCTACCTCAGGCAGCACATTCAAACATTCAAATGAGTCATTCAGATCAATTAATTTGATTATAAGCGACTTTGACAACTTTGTTTCACTTATGCAAAACTTTTTATTTTCTTGCATGACATGTTAGAATTACTTGCCTTGTGGGCTGAGTTCTATATATTAGAATGATTCATCTTTGTTTCACTAGTACAATTTTTTAAGAGAGCTAAATGACACATAAGACACCTACTCTGTCCATTTAGCATTTATGTGTCATTTGTTTTTTCACAGAAAGATTCAAAGTTATACTAGTCCCCCCTAGCCTTTGGGGTCTCAAAACTACCTGCATTTCCATGTATACAAGAAAAAAAAGCAGATTTCCTAAAGGGAGAACCTTTAAGGGATGAAGTTCAAGGCTGATATTGCTCCCCTATAAAAATAAAACAATGGACACAAATTTGAATACAGAAGTATGCTTGTAGAAGGCTGTATGAATAATCAAAACAGGATAAAAAGAGATCTGGTCCTAATTCTGTCAGTTACAGAGAGGTGCCTAGCAGCAATCTTTCCTATAAACCAAAAACAATGTAGCTGTATTTCAAATTTTGAAAATATCCTTTTTCATTACCAGCAAGTAGAGCTGTAAATCTGTTTTTCAAAGGAGAAACAAGTACATATGTGAAATCCAGCATGTTGTTTAATTTTTTTAAATTCCTACCAACTCAGTTAATTTCTCAGCAATATTAGGATGACTTATTTCTAAATAAATGAATATTCTGGAAGCATTGGTATTGAAACTATATGCATTGTATGCAGAGATTTAAAAGAAAAATTGATGGGCATGGTATACAGAAATATAAACAAGTATCTGCTATTTGCAGTCTCTTAATGCTTAAATTACGGCCCATAGATCACCAGTGCTCTGGTAGATGCAGGCTGTTAACTCTACTTATTTTATCTCCTTGATGTAATATTACCAAAAGTAAACATGTTTTCTCCTCCTACCATAAGAGTAACAGATGGTCTTCTGTGGATTTACAAGAGGTAGGAGGGAGAAAAGGCCCCCAAACTATCTGTTAAGAACCCATCCACAGAGAACAGAGAGAGATGGGAGGGGAAAAAATAGAAAGAGAGAACAAAGAAAAAAAAAAAAAGAGAGAGAAGGGGAAGAGAGAGCAGAGAGAGAATGAGAGTGAATGAAAGTGAATTTTCTGCACCACTCTTTGTTATTTTGGTTTAATCTAGATAGTTTTATAACTACTATAATTATCAGCATTTACATCACTGACAGCTGAATTAATGAGCACGATGGGGTTCCTAATCCTTAAAAGTACTTGTCTGATTAAAATTAACCTGTGTTTCTGTGACTTTAGACACATTCAGACTCCATTTTAAAACTTTCACCTTCAAGTTTGAAAGGGGGTCCCTTCCAAGTATAGTACCTTAGCAAGATGCTCTGCCATTCCCATAGGGACCTCACATTCCTTTTCATTATTAGTTTTATTACCTAATAAAAGCACAGGTACATTCTCTTCAGTTGCCTCCTGCAGAACAAAGGCTAAATGTCAGCTGGGACACTGTATTTGAAAAAAATCACAGATCAAGAGGATAAAAACTAACAAACATCACACCACAACAAGATATTTAAGACATCGCATATGAGCCGGGTTTATGTCGCTTTACTTACAAACACGTCATAAATTCAAGTTGGACAAAAGGTATGAAAAAGACAGAATGCAAGCGATTGACTAACTTAGCATTTTTTAATAACAGCACAGAAGCTCATCAGACCATATATTAAAAAGGGAGAGAGAACTACTGTTGCATAAAATCATTAAATTTAAAACGTTAGACCTGTGTGCGTGTTTTGAAATCTATAAGCATAGAAACCTCATCAGGTGATTGCAGTTTAGAAACTAGAGAAACTTGAAACCTGTTATGCACCACTGATGCTGTTGGAAAACCCCTTACCCCTCTTATTCTGATTTGAATATCAAGAATTTTAATTAGTAGATACTAGTAAGGATGACTGGTGATAATTTTAGGTAGATCAGTCTCAAATAGAATAAATGATTAAATATAAAATAAAATCTGTATTGCTTATGCTGCTAGCATGCCTCTGTAAAATTCCAGACCTAAGGTATTCATTAACCAATAATCTCTTAGTGGTTAGAAACAAGGACAGTAAGTTGTAGTCCAAGATGTCTGCGAGACAGGATTTGTGATGGTACCCACTGTGTATAATCTTTGAATCATGAAAAAAGCGGTTCAAAGCCAAGAGCCTGCGAGCCAAGGACATATTCCCTGACCGTACATGGTCAATTCGAGGAGTGGTTGAGATCTCCGACTCATGGTCCACGTACCCAAATTACACCACCCTCTCAAAAGAGAACAACAGAAGACTACGACTGAGGCTGCTCGCTAATTTGCATCAGAAGCGAGAAAAGAAGAACCAATCATTGAAAGGATGTATTGTATAAACTAAATATGTATGAATTTAATGTATAAATATCTGTTGATTGCAATGTGCCAGCGGACATCTTTGGGAATGATCCCATGTCCGCGGTGTGCATCGTTATTAAAGGACATCTCTACTTATATAACTTTGTGTAGATAAGTTTTTCTTACCCACTGCAGATTTGCAACACTACCGTGCTACACAGGCTCTACATCACACGGTTATAGCCACTGCTCTTCTAATTATACAGACAGGAAAATAATTACAACATCTGGGTACAATCATGCCAAATAAATTACATAAAGTAGTGAATAAATTCACAGAATAGGCCCCCAAAAATATATAGAATAGTCATGTATCAAAAATCATTCTGAAAATGGTTAGAATTATCACAATGAGTACATTGATAAAATGGGCTGAATGATGCAGCAGTAAATGAACTTAGCCACATGTCTTCAACTTAGCAATAGTTTGTAGCAAATAAAATTAGTCAGTAAAGATGACTGAACTATTACAGCTTGGAAAAAGATTTTGACCACAATATTTGATTTTTCTGGATCAAAACCTGGAATTCTCCTCTGTCTTTTACCATGTTGAATTATAGCAATCACTGATTTGCTAAGATCATGTATTTAATAAGGGCTTGTCCTTACAAAATGCATGTTACTATTACTTCAGTAGAGTTACTCAGATGAGGAATAACTATGCCTGTTCGGAAACATTAGAATGAATGAGTCCTAATTTCAACTCACAAAGCCACCTCTTGACCGTTACAGAGAACAGTGTATTACACTAGAACAGATGCCCAATAAAATAAGTGTAAATGATCTTTGCATACCAACTCGTTCCCTACTTTTTCAGCAGAAATACTCTGCAATAGTAAGGAAATTGGAAGACACACTTTGTTCTCTTGAGTGACCCAGTCCTTTATGGCAGCAGCTTTAATTTTCCTTTTATTTTCTCTTTTGGCCATAAGCAAATTCAGCTGTGTGCACTCTCAATATGTTGTCTATGACCTACAGAAATATACCAAGAGAAAAAACCAAAATTTTTAATTAACTGAAGCCACTCAGTGGCATGGGTTATGAATTTGTTGTCATGTGGTTGAAAGGATGATCCCACAGGAAACCGAACTGTTTTGTACCACAAGACAGTTTTATGGCACTAATGTAGACACTATAGCTCTAAGTTCATGGCTTATGTTCACAACACAGCTGATTTCCCATGAGAGACATACTTGGTTGTCAAACTGCTAGTGATGACCAGTGATCCAATGGGAGTCATCAGCTAGATAACCTTTATCAAAAATCAGAGAACTCCATGCTGAGCTTTCCCCAAGCTCTTAAAAGCCAGGAACTGTGATTATTTTCATAGATGCAGAGATTCATTTAGAAGCTTTACTGGTAACTGTGCAGATCAACATCAGTAACAAAAATGTAATTCTTGTGTAAGAACATGGGAAACATGCTGCTCTGTGCTTTGCCCTAACACTCCCTGATCAGAAGAAGATAGAGGATAATGACACCAGAGTTTAGGTTTAAAGGTATGTCATGTTACCTCGATGCTTATCAGCCACTGCTTGACAGCTGTGAATGTGTTTTTTGCTGTAATATCATACATCACAATGACACCATCAGCTTTTCCGAAAAACTTCTTGGTAATACTTCGGTACCTGTAGGTAAGGACTTGTCTATAGCTCTCTTCAACACAAGCAGCAATCTGACAATATAAGTAAAAAATTTAGTAATCCCCCTCCCTCCTCCCCAAAGGAAGATGTTGCCATACAGTTTCTTCTAATCTTCTAGTCTGTAACACTGGTCTTCACTGCAGATCCTGTGTGAAAGGTGAGGATCATTATGAATTGTAGTAAGCAATTCCATTCTTCCTGAATCAGACCCCTTTTCACATTCATCAGAGGATTCATGGAGGACACTACTACCAGAAGTTACTGCAACAGCAAATAAGTTCTCTGCAAAAAAAAAAAAAAAAAAAAATGTTTGGAAAAGTTCCCTCTGCCTTCTTTAATTGATTCTGGGTTAGTCTGGATAATCAGCTGCCTTATGTCACCTTCTCCCCTCTTTAATTTTAAGCTTGGAGCAGAAATTTTCCCCTCACAAAGTGCTCTGCCTAAAGCTAGCTAGATTCCTGTTTGGGTTTTTTTTCCCAAGCTTCCTATAGAAAACGTATATTATCATCCTTGCTTTTAGTAACAGAAAACTACTAGGTGAGGAAATGGGGAAGGAAATCACCACTGAAAACTGACAAAAACTTGAACTTCAACTACGATGGGATTATTTTGGTGGAAAAACACACACACCCCCTTTTTTTTTTAACCATTAAGGCATTTTTTGCTATAGAAATAATTTAAATACATTTTAAAATCAGCCTTCCTCCTAAAGAAATTGTGTAGTACTACACTTTCAAGAGCTTTAACAAGAATCTCTTTTACAGATTGGCACTTTTTCAATGGACACTTAGCACCAAACCAGAACATTATTGCTGCTAGGGGAGGATGTAAACTGTGAATTCACTGGCTCTATTAGGGATATTCCTACATTTGTTCCTCCCCCAAGAAACAGGATTAGGCCCATGCTTACTAATCTTTGAACAGATAATTCAAGGAAGCAAAACCTTAGAATGTGTACTGGTTTTGGCCGGGATAATGTTAAATTTCGTTATACTAACTTGTACAAGTCTATGTTTTGTGTTTGTGATAAAATCACAGAATCATTAGGTTTGAATAGGCCTCTGAGATCATCAAGCATTGACCTAATACCACCATGCCCACTAAACCACATCCCAAAGTGCCATATATACACATTTTTTTGAACACCTCTCCAGGGATGATGAAAACTGTGTTGGTAACACACCATTTTAGTTACTGCTCAATGGTGTTTATATAGCATCAAGGCCTTTTCTGCTTCACAGACTGCTGTACCAGTGGGTAGGCTGGGGTGCAGAAGAAGTTGTGAGCAGAACACACCTGGGACAGCTGACCCCAACTGACCAAATAGATATTCCATACCATATGACATTGCACTCAGCAATAAAACTGCCAGGGGAAGAAAGGTTGGCTGAGGCTGTAGTTGCTCAGGGACTAGCTGGGCATCAATCAGATGATCATGAGCAACTTTTTTTTGTGACTTGTTTCTCTTGGTTTTGCTTCTTTCCTCTTTATTGTTTTCCCTGGTGGTGGGTTTGATTTTTTTTTTTTTTTTAATTACTAAACTGTCTTTATTTCAACCACTGAGTTTTCTCACTTTCAGCCTTCTGATGTTCTCCCCTGTCACACTGGAATGGGAGAGCAAGCAAGCAGCTGTGCGGTGCTAGCCGACTACCAGGGTTAAACCACAACAGAATGTTTCTCACCGTTCCTGGCCAGCCATGTCCCAGAGTTGCAGGGCTACCCAGGTATTATCTACTGTGATGGTTTTCACATTGTAATCCACACCTATAACAGAAATACAAGGTAGGTGGTCTCTTTATATTCTCAGTTTGACCTTTGAAAACCTCCTCCAGCAAATAGCAACAATTCCAGAAAGGTAACAAGATAGATACTACGTTAAAAGTTACGTCCATAGTCTCTAACTATCAGAAAACAACATAAGCTTTTATTTGCCAGAAGTTCCTCAGTAATAAAATACTGAATGTTAACAGAGTAGTTGAATTTTGTAAAAGCTGCAAGGTAAGTATCTTTCCAAATCAGGGTACATTTGACAGTCCACAGCACAGTAAGCCATTTAGCCAGGAATTCATGCTGTATAACTTCAGCTGTCTGAAATTTCAGCATTCAGTCCGAGCTAGCCGCATATGCATCTTCTACAGTTAGTGGAAAAACACAAGGCACCACACCAAGGGGACAGTGGAACCTAAGATAAATGCTGAAGATAGATGAATATGTGGAGAATCTCCTCCCCTCTTCAGAATACAGATGAGCTGACTACAGTTAGGTCAGTCCCCTAATTTTCATGTGGCTAAATGGAAGAGAGAAAAAACTAGTTTACCTAAACTTTTAAGTGAAACCTCTCCCAATTCCCCTAACCTGTGATGATAGAAGTATCTTCTAGATATTTATAACAGTAATTAGAGTCTTAAATATTAATCAGTCACTGCCTCCTCCTAATGACAACCTGCATTTTCTTGTATCATAATGTGCTGTATCATGGAATCGCAGAATCATAGAATAATTCAGGTTGGAAGGGATCTCAGTAGGTCATCAACAATTTCTTCAGGGCCATTTTCCACATCAAATAGATTTTTACCACTGGCATTAATGAAGAAGCATCCAAGCCCATGTTCCTTCAACAGGCAATTAATAAATCTGGATGGAGGATATATCCATTGCTTATATCTCGAGGGAAGAAATTTGAGCTATTCTGTAGAAATTCAGTGAGAACATTCTTCTCTAGATTGTTCACTTGACTTTTCAACTGTCTGTATCTTGCCAGCCATAGTCCACATTTGTGAAACTCACTGATGTGAAAACTAAATCAAAGTTATGACAAATACTTTCTTGCCATTGCATTTGCAAGAACGCTGGATGACCAGCCAAAGATGAAAGTCAGATGCATTCCTGTGCTTTTCCTCTGGAAGCTCCAGGCAATTGCACACACTGCACAAGACCTCAGAGTCTAGGGAGGTGTATCAGCTGTTTACGAGACAACACGGATAGGACGTAGCACCAGATTCAAATGTAGACAATTGCATGTAGGTGTCTAAGATGCCATAGAGTTAATGAAGATCTAGTCAATGCAGAGCTAGGAGTCTAGGAAATGACTAAGCTCATCCTGAAGTAGGCATCAAGGGTCAGATTAATTGGTCCCTAGGCTCCTCTGATTGAATTGATTTGGACAGGATGGCAGGGTAGAATTCCGTTGTTTGTTTACAGGCACCTAGTGCTATCCAAGATGCCATTTGGCATTCAAAGTGTCTGTTTCAATCCATCAGGACACCCAGGAGACCTGCTCTCTTCCAAGCAGGTAGAGACCAGATAAAATACCTTCTAGTGCCAAAATCAATTTAAATCCCTATGCCAAGATCTTAGATCTTCCCTGACTCTAATGTGAACTTAGACACTCAACATACCAGTAGAAATTTACTCACATATCTTTATCTACCCCATAAAGTCAAGGGAGCTACAGTAATTGCTCACATGCATGTTCTTAGATTGTCACAAATGCAAGACAAATCCATTAATTTAAATACCTTTTATTGTGAATAAGTTTTATTTCATATATGCTGCAGACAAGCCTAAATACAGACTAAGTATAATAAATCTGGTCATTTACAGTAACTCACTGCATTGCAATAACCTATACTTAACCTTCATTATGTGTCTGACTTTTGAAAGCTTAGTTTACAACTTTAGGCAATGTAAGTACAACACAGGCTTTGAAGTGTTTGGCTTTTAACACACTGTTCCAACATATTTCTTTAGTTCTTAGTATTATGCTAAATCTTTAAACATAATTCAGACAGTCTACTTTCTCTTTAAAACAAAATCAGATTACTTAGAGGGATAGAGTTGGGGTATAGATGTGGGATGGTTAGTACAACACAGTCCAGAGGACGGGATATCAGTTTCAGAACAGTGAGATCTACAAGGACTTTCTAGCTTCACTGAAATAGACACAATTTTCCTGATCTATTTCAGTGCTGCCAGGATTTCAGAATGGAATCTACTCTGAAACCTCTCTATGAATTATCTGCTTCCTGGTTTAGGAGAACTCACTTGGCATGTCCTACTCCCCTGAATAATGGCTTTTACAGTATCTGTATGTTTCCGTTTTAACACAGGGCCTGATCTCAGTAGAAGCGCTAAGTACTGCGGAACAAAAATAATAGTAATAATGTTTCTTAAACTTACCTACAGTAGCAGCTGTGCCTGGGAGAAAACAATCTTCACAAAATCACCTTAAGAACAAAGTCTTTCCAACACTTGAATTGCCCACAAAAATAACCTTGAATAAGTGGTCTGGGACAGAGTTTATTCTCTCCTCCAAGTAAGAGCAAGCGTTAGTCTCCAACTGTTCTATAAATGCTGTTGCCTCTCCAATTTTCCTTGTTTTGAAGGCTGAGATTGGAAAAAGAAGAGATTTTATCCTATCATGTTCTGCAATACTCATAAAGCTATAGTCTGTTTCTTAAAAAAATAGGCATTTCACATGTTTGCCATACATCATTCCAGCTTATTTCAAGTGCAGTGATTTGGACTGAGCTCTGGAAGTATATTGAATATGAACCTTGACATGGACCTGCATTGAAAAATGCATGAAATTCATGGAGTCATAGAATGGTTTGGGTTGGAAGGGACCTTAAAGATCATCTAGTTCCAGCCCCTTTGCCATGGGCAGAAACAATTTCCACTAGAACAGGTTGCTCAAAGCCCCATCCAGCCTGGCCTTGAACACTTCCAGGGAGGGGGCATTTACAACTTCTCTGGGCAACTTGTTCCAGTGTCTCACCACCCTCAAAAGAAATAATTTCATCCTTATATCAAATCTAAATTTACCCTCCTTCAGTTTAAAACCATTACCCCTCATCCTATCACTACTCTCACTGATAAAGAATCCCTCCCCATTTTTCCTGTAGGCCCCACTCAAGCACTGGAAGGTCACTCCCCAGAGCCTTCTCTGCTCCAGGACAAGCAAGCCTAGCTCTCTCAGCCTGTCCTCATAGGAGAGATGCTCCAGCCCCCGGGTCATCTTCACAATCCTCCTCTGGACCTTCTCAAGCAGGTTCATGTCTGTCTTGTGCTGGGGGCCCCAGAGCTGAACACGGCACTCCAGGTCGGGACTCACCAGAGCAGAGTAGAGGGGAAGAATCATCTCCCTTGACCTGCTGGCCACACTTTTGATGCAGCCCAGAATGAAATTGGCTTTCTAGGCTGCAAGTGCACATTGCCATCTCATATTCAGTGATCCATCCATCAAATCCATGTCTCTCCAATTCAGGGACAAGATTTCATGAGAGACAGTGACAATGCTTTGCAAAAGTCCAGGTAGATGATGTCAGTTACTTTTCCCTTAACCACTGTCACTGTAACCCCATCGTAGAAGACCACCAAATCTGTCAGGCACAATTTGCCCTCAGTGAAACCATGTTGGCAGTCACCAATCATCTCCTTATTTTCCATGGGCCCTAGCATAGTTTCCAGGAGGATCCTCTCTGTGATCATGCTGGGCACAGAGGTGAGACTGACTGGCCTGTAATTCTCTGGGTCTTCCTTTTTTCCCTTTTTAAATATCAGGGTTATGTTTTCCAGTCAGTGGGAACTTTGCCAGGCTGCCACGACTTCTCAAATGTGATGGATAGTGGCTTAGCCACTTCATCCACCAGTTCCCTCAGGACCTGCGGATGGATCTCATCAGGTGCCATGGACTCGTGCACCTTCAGATTCCTTAGATGGTCTCAGATCTGATCTTCTCCTACAGTGGGCAGTTGTTTATTCTCCCAGTCCCTGCCTCTGCCTACTGTCACTTGGGCTTCACCACTTGCTGGTGAAGACTGAGGCAAAAAAGTCATTTTGTACCTCAGCCTTCTCCATGACCCACGTAACCAGGTCTTCTGTTTCCTTCTGGAGAAGGCCTACCTTTTCCCTGGTCTTCCTTTTATCACTGATGTACCTATACAAGCTTTTCTTATTGCCCTTGATGTCCCTGGCCAGATTCAGTTCTGTCAGGGCTTTGGTTTTCCTAACCTGATCTGTGGCTTCTCAGGCACTTTCTCTGTATTCATCTCAAGATACCTGTCCTTGTTTTCACCCTCTGTAGACTTCCTTTTTTTTTTGTTGGAGTTTGTTCAGGACGTCCTCATTCATCCACAAAGGCCTCCTGGAGTTTTTGCCTGACTTACTTTTTCTCTGACGCCTGATGCATCACTCCTGAGCTTGGAGGACGTGATCCTTGAATATTGACCAGCTATCTTGGGCCCCACTTCCCTCCAGGGCTGTATCCCATGGTACTCTGCCAAGGAGATCCCTGAAGAGGCCAAAGTCTGCTCTCTTGAAGTCCAGGCTAGTGAGCTTGCTGTGTGCCATCCTCACTGCCCTAAGGATCTTAAACTCCACATCTCATGGGCACTGCAGCCCTTGAGATGAATGCCATTGAATGCCCCTGCCATTCTCCACCAGCCCCTCCTTGTTGGTGATAACAAGGTGCAGCAAAGCACCTCACCTCATTGGCTGCTCTGCCTCTTGGAGAAGGAATTTATCATCAATGCATTTAGTGAACCTCCTGGATTGCTTCTGCCCCACTCTGTTCTCCACCAGCCCCTCCTTGTGATAACAAGGTGCAGCATAGCACCTCTTCTTGTTGGCTCCTTCATCACTTGGAGAAGGAATTTATCATCAATGCATTCAATGAACCTCCTGGATTGCTTCTGCCCCACTCTGTTGTCCCTCTAACAGATATCAGGGTGGTTGAAGTCCCTCACGAGGACCAGGGCTTGTGAACGTGAGGCTGCTCCTATCCATAGAGGGCCTCATCTGCTTGTTTTTCCTGGTTGGATGGCCTGTAGCAGAACCCCACTATAATGTCACCTGCCCCTCTGCTTTCTTTAATTCTGACCCATAAGCTCTCAGTCAGCTCCTCATCCAGCCCCAGGCAGTGCTCCATGCACTCCAGCTGGTTATTGACATAGAAGGCAACACACCCTCCTCCTCTCCCCTGACTGTCCTTCCTAAAGAGCCTGTATCCTTCTATTCCAAGACTCTAGCCACAGGAGCCACCCCAAATCGCCAAAAGAAAATGTACATGTTCATTCCTGCAAATCAAAAAAAAAGCTTCACACAGCTCTGCTCCGTAGTTTCATCCTGTACCAATGACTTATGCCATCTACTACCAGATTATTCTCTGTGCTACTACTGTGAAGTCGAGAGCTTCCATAAAATTACTGGACTTCTACATTACAGGCAGAAGCATGGGGAAAAAGAGACAGAATCAGACCCAGTTAATCAGGCTGTAAACAGTCAGCTATGTTTCTGTCATGTAGGTCTTTTTAAGTACAAGGAAGAACAATTTGTTCTGCTATCCACATCCTGTTTACTGCAGGTTAAGCTAAGGGGATGCTGGAGAGAATATTTATATCCTCTGTCAAGTAGGTCATTATTCCCAAGACCTTTGTACAATCAGGAGCTGCTTAGGGAAGAACACTGTAGCACCAGCTGGTTTGCAGGGGATGCTCCAGCTGGCCTCTTATTTTGTGCACAAAGTAAAAGAGGAGAAGGAAGAGGGAGATAGCAAGTTTGTCCTTAGTGCTGCAGAAGGGGAGCAAGCTCATGGATGCTCCTGGCCTTAGTTTGTTGGGGCTGGGGCTAGGAGGAGAGAGAAGGGAGGGAAAGGCCCTCTGCCAGGCATTTGAGGTACAGAATTCCTGAGACTGCTGACTTCAAGAAGACAACAGAACTGCCCGACAGTCCTTTGAACGAGACATTGAAGTCTGGCCTTGCAAATATTTTCTACAAATATGCTGAAGCCTTACAGAAAGAATTGTAAACAACAGAGCTGCAGTTGACGGGGAAAAAAAAAAAAAACACCACAAAACGAACCCAAAACTTAAGCTGCTGTATTCCTTAGTATGAAAAAAAAAAAAATAAATTTTGGGGACAAAACCACATATGTCTCATGAGCTGGGCTAATGGCCCATTACAGCTATACAGACATTTCTGATCTCATTGTTCACTTTTCTATTAAAATCCCAAACTCTACTGCAACTATAGGCTGCTAAGAATACACATACATCTATATAAAACAAGCACATTTTCATTCTGCTGAAAAACATTCCCAGCTTATTACTCTGCATGCTCTAGGAAATAAAACAAGTTAACATACAATCAACAACTTGGCACTAATTTCACAGCGCTTCTGAGAACAATAACTAAATATATGGACTACATGACCTGAAATAGCTTGTCCTTGAGGTGGTCATACACACCTCAGTAGCACCAAGACTCAAAGACACCAGAGGCCTTCAGCTCAACTCCCAACATAGTAGGCAGTCATTTTTAATAAACACCAATAACAATCAAACTTGATTCTAAAACTGCATCTGAACACTATACTAAGGGAAGAGCTACTTCATAGTTTGGTTCAACTAGTGCTGATCGGAAAATGGAATAGCAGTGGGATGTAAATTTACTCTAGTTTACAATGCACTCTGAAAAAGTCTTACTTAAATGTGTCTTTTGAGTGCCCTTCATATAAACAGTAGCCAGGTCAAGTAACATAACCAGCTTTTGTGTAATTTAACACAAATGTGGAAGATGGCAGGTATGAACATAGTGGTTCATACTCCACATTGAAAGAACAGAGTGAAGAGGAACTGCATCTCAGGCAGACATTTTGGACATAAAACCTTCCTTTAATTTCTATTATGGTTCCTTCAGGTATATTGCCAATCACATACCTGCTTATGTTAACTGCAGCTTCATCTTCATAGCCACTCAGAAAATAACCTGACTGTTAACTCCCAGATAAAAGAGCAGTTGCTGGCCTCAAGTACTGCTGCAAATTCTTAGATGCTTTCAGAAATCACCTTCCATAGGATGGAAATGGACTTGTTCATTTCTAAAAGCAGAAAAAATTTACATTGGTTCTACTCGCTTATAAGATGCAGTAGGTCAAAGGATTAGCAGCTAAATTACTGTGAATGTATGGTGAATAGGAAGGCTTAATGCCAGCAGCTAGGAACCTGAGTTCAGTATAGTAAGCAATGAGATCACAGAATGCAGTAACACAAAGCCATGTAGACTACAGAAACACAAATGGTAATGAACTGAAAAATACAGGTTGTCTCAGAGCCTTCATCTTCCTAGTGCAAAACAGAGAATGACAAGACTTTATATCTGAGTGAGCTACATATGTAACAACTGCATGGAATCATACTACCTCCTTTGCACAAGTATTTCTAGACCCTACACTCCTTTGTACTGCAGATCCTTGAGGAGGGATGAAAGAGGGGAAAGAATTGGCTGCAGAAGACAGTCTAGCTGACATACAGCCCTGAGACTCATAATTCATGATGCAGCAAGCAGGGAGTTAACTTTTTCTGAAATTTTCTTCAGCTCCAGTTGAGGATTATGTGCAGAGCTTCCCCGAAACGCTTACTAATTGAACACCCTCCTCCTAGACCCGGCATGCTGTCAGGACAGGGAATCAGTGTGCAAGAACTGTATAGAACAAGATCAGTTCTGATGTCTAAATCTCATGGTCAAAAAGTGGTGATCCCAAGAGCCATCACTTAGGAAATGCAAAGTTGTAAGAGAAATTAATCAGATTACAGCTGGTATATAGAAGTAGATGAAGCACTACTCACACAAAATAGCAGTGGTCAAACACTTACACAGCCTAGAGACTGCCCTGAGCAATAGAATGCCATCAGTTGAATAGTTGTTGGCAGGCTTAGTCAGCAAGCCAAGAGGACCATGCAGAACCATGCACATATTTCAGTGCCACATGGACAGAGAGTTCATCACAAAGGAGTGTTATGTTGTGTTTTCTTTTAAACTAAATATAAAAAAAAAACAAGTAAAAAACCTAATCCAAACTAAGGGCTAGGTTAAGGCATCAACACTTCATATAAAATAAAACTGGAATTCCCAATTCTAAGTGACCTTTGGAAATTAACTTCTTGCTTACCCTTACAATGTTTCTAAAGAAACTGAAACAAAATGTATTCAACAACCAAGCAGGAGACATTTTATCATTTCTTCTCTCCCCTTCCTGCTTGCTCTCAGCTGGTTTTGGGGAAAAACAAAAAACAAACCAAAACAAACCAAAATAAAACAAAAACCCCCACACAAGATCTGAGGGAAAGCCCAGTTCCTACCCAGCTGAGAGGACATGCTTTCAAGGGGCACAACTGCCAAAACATAGTAGGGAGGACAGGTTTGTCCTAGCTGGACCTGATGAAAGACATGAACCTGTTGGAGTAAGTCCAGAAGTGCCACAGAAATGATCAGGGGGCTGAAGCCCCCTCTCATGAGGAAAGGCTGAGAGAGTTGGGGTTATTCAGGCTGGAAAAGAGAAGGCTCAGGGAGACCTTATGGTAACCATTCAGTACTTAAAGGGAGCCTACCAGAAAGAAAGGGGCATTCTTTTTGGCAAGGCCTGTTGTGATAGGACAGGGAGTAACAGTTTGAAACTAAAATAGGGTAGATTCAGACTAGATGCAAGGAAGGAATTTTTTACAGTGAGGGTGGTGAAACACTGGAACAGGCTGCCCAGAGAGGTGGTAGAAGCCCCATCCCTGGATACATTCAAGGTCAGGTTGGACACGGCTCTGAGCAACCTGATCTAGCTAAAGATGTCTCTACCCACTGCAGGGGGATGGGACTAGATGACCTTTAAAAGGTCCCTTCCAATCCAAACAATTCTATGACCTACCTGGCTTTTGCTGTCCTAAAGTGCAATGATACCATTCTTTGAAAATGTAAAACAAAATAAATCATATAGCAAGAAAAAAGTATGCATTCTATTAAATCATTTCAAAAGATGAAGCTCTGTTCTGTGCCCAGGACTTTCTATTAAAATGTACCACTATTATGTAACCATGGCATAATTCTATCATAATTTTTAAGATATGCTTGCTTCTTCTAAAAGAACTATATAATTATGACCAAGCATACCTATTTTTCCTATGCTTTAATCTTTTTAGCATGTGCTTCAAGAATCTAAAAAAATGAGTAATATTTAGCAACGATACTAAAATTAGAAAAAAAGCACAACTAGCTCTGAAGTAATAGCAGTGCAAGGACTTTAGACTCCAAATAAATGTACCTTCCAGCATATTGTTTTAAGGATTATTACTGCAAGGTGAATTAATTGTTACATGCACATACAAGCTAGAGCTGAAAAAATTTCTGGATTTCAATTTGCTATTTAAAAGTCTTCTCAGAAAAATAATTTAAAACATATTTGCTCTCTTTATTTCTCAGATAGTTTAACAGCTACCAAAGCTGACTCAAAAGTTACCAGCACATGAGAAGTGACACTTTTTGGCAAAAAATAATCCAAAGTTTTCAGAAAAAGAGTTGCTTCTGGTTTTAGACAATTGCTACCTTTCAATGGATCATCTATTACAAGGCTTAACTTCACTTTTCCTAAAGAGTCCTTCAGACATGTCTATGCACATATTGTCTGCAATTATCACTATTTTATGTTGAGTTTTCCTTCTTACACCTTGAACATTTATCTGCAGTATATTTCCATCTCCCTTTTCCTGCAATGGCTTAATTTGGCATGCTGTAACTTAGAAAACTAAATTTTAGACTCTAAGAATAACACATTACCCTTCAACACCATTTTGTGTTTTCCAAGGTGCTTTAGAATAGAACAGAACAGAACAGAATAGAATACTGCAGTTGGAAGGGTCTTACAAAGGTCATCTTGTCCAACTGCCTGACCACTTCAGGGCTGACCAGAAGTTAAAGCATATTATTAAGGGCGTTGTCCAAATGCCTGTTCAACACTGTCAGGCATGGGGCATTGACCACCTCTCTAGGAAGCCTGTTCCAGTGTTTGACCGCCCTCTTGGTAAAGACATGCTTCCGAATGTCAAGTCTGAACCTCCCCTGATCCAGCTTTGAGCCATTCCCATGTGTCCTGTCACTGACTTCCAAGAAGAAGGGACTAGCACCTCCCTCTCCGATTCCCCTCCTCAGGAAGCTGTAGAGAGCACGGAGGTTGCCCCTCAGCCTCCTTTTCTCCAAACTAGACAGACCCAGAGTCCTCAGCAAGTCCTCACAGGACATTACTTCCAGCCTTTCTACCGGCTTTGTTGCCCTCCTCTGGAGGCATTCAGGGTGGGGCCCAGAACAGCACACAGTACTCATGGTGAGGTCCCCTTTGCCCTCTTACATTTGACAATGCTTCCTTCCCTACAGGCTGCTCTCTAGAAGATGATGGTGAGTGCTCCATTGATTGTTCTGTCCTTTTCTTATCCATTTCCATCTCAGAAGTATTCTCATCTTCTCCTGTCCATCTGTTCAGCTGTTTATTAACCAGCCTGTCAAGAAGCTGGGGTAGATGGTCTTCCTCAATTGATACTATTCTTTGGAGCTGTGATACTTTAGACAATCCTCCAGTGGCTCCAGCACCAGGGTCTACAGAGAGAATTCCACTCAGTCCAGTAGAATTCCTTCTCTTCGAGTTAATGAAATCATCATCTTCTTCAAATGAATGGCTAGACATGGAAAAACGTACATCACAAAGATATATTTGACCTGGATTTCTACTGTTTTATTCTAACGTAACTGAATTTAGTCCGCCATGTTTTTACTACTCACAGCCGGCATAGTAGATTCAGTCCAATGTCTACTGAAAAGTCAGCACATCATACAATGTGTATATATGCATAGCATGCTTGATAATTATAAGCATGCTAGGGAAAACTAGTAACTTACGGGGAAAACCTGAACCAGAATACAGAACATAAGATTAGCCTCATTTCTAACATTACAGAATAGCTAACAAATTTCTCTAATGTGATTTCCTCCTCCCCTCCCCCCCCATCCTGGAAGAATAAAACCACCCCCCAAGCCCAGACCCTTTCTATATGTAATCTAATTCTACTTTAGCAGGTAGGAGGGAGATTGGTTTGTTTAATATGGATGAAAAAAAGGCTAAGTGGGGATTCAACAGAAGGGGAAGTGTGGATAAATAGATCCAGAGTCTTATCAGATGTGTGCAATCACCACAGATGCAAGTTGCAGTAAGAGAAATGCTGACTTGACAAAGGGAAAAAAATTTCTTCATGAGACTGGAGCAGCAATGGACCAGGTGCCCAAAGAGGTTGTGTGACCTCAATCCAGGTGTTCAAAAACTCAACTGAACAAGGCCCGGAGCAACCTTATCTATTTTTCGGAGTTATCCCTGTTTAAGCAGGAGATTGGACTAGAGGCATAAAAAGCCCTTCACACCTTTTTCTATGATTTTTGTGCCATAATTGCTTTTGCCAATTACACTCCACTTCTCAGTACTGAACTTACTAAGCTGTGTCACTGAAAGCTTTCCTTCCTTACACTTCATGACCCTGTGTCTGCAGGGGCAGCTGCTATTTCAAAGTGAAATACTAGTCTTCCCAGCCCTTCCTGTCTCAAAGGAAACCTGCTAGTGTTTCACTGAGATCACCATCTTGTTTCTGTTCATTTCAAGGTTACAACCACACAGTTGAAAATTAAATTCTCCATGTTTTAAGAGTTCCACATACCATACTTTACAATAGACTGCTGTTGTCCACAATGAGAGGGGAGGTATACTCCAGGTAACTGGACAGTTACATTGTAACTCACTAACACAAGGTAATGGGCAAGCTTTTTTGCCTCCCAGCATATACTGATCCACAATGGGGAAGTCTCTTGCCTTTGCAGACAGTACACTTGTTTTATATGAAAATTTGTCTCTTTATTCCCAAACTTCTTAAGGAGCACAGTAATCTTATAGTAACAGACACTTTAGAAATACATGCTTTGAAAAGTCCAAAGGTATCAGAAACAAAAAATTCCACAACTTTCTTTAAGCCTTATCACACTCAAACAGGGAACACATGAAAAAAGGTTCTTACCTGTTAGGCAGCATCCTGCCCTCTATGTATTTCTCAATGACAGACCCTGAACTTAGCTTCCGGCTGGCTTTTGGACCACTTGTTTTGCATTTCTGCAGAAATACAGAATACTTCTTACTAATTAACTCCTGTTGTTCATTATGGTTAACTGCCTTCATTCCTACTGCTTAAATAATGCAATGAACGTGAAAAAAAAACACAGAAAAATCCTAGAAGCATAAATGCTTCACAATTCTGATTGATAAACAATCACAACATAGAAATTCTAGATCCTACAAGAATTCATCTGCTTTGTAAACTAAATGGACCACAATAAAACAGCATAACGTCATGAAAAGAAGTGCATGGATATATTTTTTACACTAACAGCTTTTTGTAGGACTAAGAACATAAACAAGTGTAAACTAAGTGGCCTTAGTCTCCTTAAGCCAGGGTATTTCTGGAACTTTAAGGGCCCATTCTCTGCTGCTGGATAAAAAGTTAATGCGATCTGCTCTTACCCAGTACCATAAGCATTCAGGTACTCAGATATTGTACTGTCGTATAAACATTTCGGGATATTAGCTACTCTTGACTGAATATATTAACACAATTTAATTGTTCAATTTTAGGTTATTTCATCCTCTCATGATTGCATCCTTAGCTCCTTATAAAATACATTTGTCTCTCTCAAGCTCCAATTTTATAATTCTAAAAATGTAGCTCTTAAAATTGTTCAGCAATTTTTTTCTCACTTGAGAATAAGATTTCTAGAACAATAAGAATGGGCAAAGATTTAAGTAGCACAAGAGTCTGCCTTCTGATCGCCTTCTTTTGAGGCTGTTCCAATATATGTTTGCTCAACACTAGGTTTGAAAATAATAGTGTTTACCTGTAAAAATGTCACATTAATCTTTGAGATGCCTGTTCCTCTCCCTGCAAAGAGAACACAAATAAAACAAAGACTGGGGCTAAGTATTTAGAACTGCAGACTTTTCTACTCAACACTAACAGACAGACTGGACAGCTGGCACTGTAAAAGACAAGACAAATGCACTTCAATTTGGTATATCTCCACCCTTGATCATGCTTTATTTATATTCTCACCACAGCCAGTTGCCTGCCTGGACCATTGGATCTCCAGTAGGGTTAAGCTGATTAAAGCCAGCTGACATGTGGCCCTCATTCTGTAGTTTATCAAGACAAATGCCTTAACACATAGAAATATCAGTTCCAGTCAATACACCTTCACTTACTCTAAATTAGAATGTTTAAAACTTTTCACAGTAAAGATGACTTCTTAAAGTGGAAAGGGTATAATGAACACCATCTCTATTCATCTGGTGACAGCTGTGAAGGCCAGTTATGTCCCTCTAAGGGCTACAGTTGTGGCTGCCATGGAAAAGTCTCCCTGGGAAAACATCCATTTTCCATTCGTTATGCAGAATAGATAAAAATGTCAAGAAATGAAGACTCCACACAGTCAGCCAGCTCTGATCAGATCTGACAACACACCGGCTTACTACATCGTTCATTGTCTCCATCTATTGCTGGCTTGGCCATAAAAGAGACTGAGCAGCTGTTACAGCTTTGGTGAAGAGAAACAACCCCTGCTGTCAGATGTTTCCATCTATGGCTCCATTACCAGCAGCAGGCAAGATGATACCACGTGAAATGGCCTATGGGAAACACACTGCAAAGTAAGAGCCTTTCCTCAAGCTTGGGAACTTCTTAGGTAACTTTAAAACAAGGCCTCCTGAAGGAAATGCAGTGAATGAAGGCCTACAAGCAAGTACAATCTAAAGCCCATGCAAACTTACCATTGAGCAAATAAAAACTAACATGGCTGCACATTAAAAAGAGGGTTACAACTGTCTGAACACAACTCCAAACTTTGAAGTCTATCAATACAGAAATGTTACAGAGAAAATTAGCTTTTTGTATATGTATGTGTTTTGGTATAATTTTACAAATAAACATTTTTGGGAAATTCTTCATTTTGGCTGTACTACCATCACTTTGGAAACAACAGAGCCTTTTAGTAGGCTTCAAGTCCTCTGTGCCCGGACTTCTAGCATAGAATCAGCTTAGAACAGTTCACCATTGGTTTGCTTTACATTTGACTTTCAGAACAGAGATTATCCTACAACACCAAATTGAAAAAACAAAGCAAATCTTTCATGTGTACTGCCTTCTACTGTGTGCAAGCACGGGGCTTACAAAAGACTCATTTTTGCTATCTTTTGTGTCATTGTTCTGTGGCAGGTTGACCTTAACTGGCTGCTAGATATGCATCCAGCAACTCTCTCACTCCCCTTCCTCAGCAGGACAGGGAAAGAAAATAAGATGGAAAAGCTTGTGGGTCAAGATAAAGACAGGAAGATTGCTTACCAACTACCATCACAGACAAAACAGGGTGGTGATGAGAAACAAAGACAAAACTAAAATCACCTTTTCCCCGTCCCCCCTTGTTCCCAGGGTGAACTTCACTTCCGCACTCTCTACTCTTCAACCTCTTTCCCAACCTCAAGCAGCACACAGGGACAGGGAATGAGGGGGTTGTGGTCAGTTCATAACAGCTCCTCTCTGCTGCTCCTTACTCCTCACACTTTGCCCTTGCTCCACTGTGGGTTCCCTCCCTTCACAAACTGCTCCAGCATGGATCCTTCCCATGGGGCACAGTCCTTCAGGAAGACTGCTCCAGCGTGGGCCCCCCATTGGCCACAACTCCTGCCAGAAAACCTGTTCCTGAATGGGCTCCTCTCCATGGGCCATAGGTCCTGCCAGGAGCCTGCTCCTGCATTGGCTCTGTGCAGGCGCTGGGAAATCTCTGCTCCAGCACCTGAAGCACCTCCTCCCCCTCCTTCTTCATTGACCTTAATGTCTGCAGAGCTGTTTTTCACATTTTTTTTCCTACTACCCTCTCTCAACTGCTGCGCAGTGTTTTCTACCCTTTCTTATACATACTTTCCCAGAGGCATCGCAATCTTGGATGAGAGGCTCAGCTGTGCCCTACAGTGGGTCAGATGGAGCCAGCTGGAGCCAGCTGTATCTGGCACAGGGCAGCCCCAGCCTCTCCTCTCTGGCACAGAGGCCATCCCTGCAACACCCCACTGACAACATCTGGACATCTACACCCAGTACACATCCCAACATAATTTCATCCTTTAATGTACCTCTTTAGAATGATGCAAGAAGTTATTGAATGTAAGGTCCGCAGTACCTTAAAAAGTCCAGCTGCTTCAGAAGTCCTGACTTCTCTCTCTGTAAGGTTTCTGTCACTCGGTACACCTCCCTGTAATGAAGATAAACATGTAAAATTGTTCTAACCATAGTAACAGTGGTTCCCCTAGAAATATTCACATTTGAAACTTCAGCTTCTCCAAACCTGTAGACTTCATTCTGCATGAATGGTTACTAATCCGTAAAAAGTTATAGAATAGTATAGTATAAGGCCCACAGTACCACAGCAGTTTGAATTAGCAGAGGAAGGAGTAGAGGGTCTTTTAAAAAAATTATACCTTTATAATTTCTTCACGCAGAGAGCTTAATATACACTGATGCTGGCACTTGCATCATTCAGAGAAGATATACTGCAGAAATCCTTCTCACTCATGCCACTGAAGAGCATATAACATTTTATCCAAAATTAGAGTTTATCTTGCTGCTGGAACAGGCTCACCCATCTACATCTTTGAGAAAGACAGAGCATCATGTGCCACAACTGTAATTTCTGTAAGGAATCACACTGGTATTTCAAAACTAAGACACTTTTTAACCAATTAAACTGATCTTTAATTTCAAACACCCTCAACAAACAGGCTGTGGGAGAATACTGACATTTTGAAGAAGTAGCAAAAGATTCTGTAGAAACTAGGTATGCTACAGAAAACATGCTGAATTACTTGGGGAAAAATGTCTAGAACTACACTTGGCTTTGCTGGTGGTTTCTGCTTATGACACAATCATAAAGCTTCAATCACAGCACTGAATACCCTGAGAAGGAGGCTCACTGGCATGCTAAGCAAATGCACTAGAACCACTGCAGCTGGAGACTTACATTTCCTTCTCCTCATGCAGCATGTGTAACTGTTCTTGAGTTAGGCTTAGTTCATGAGATGTTCTCTCCAGGTCCCCCAGCAGCTCCTGGTTAGTCAGCTTCAGCTTGGTGTTTTCTACTTTGGTTTGTTCTTTGCTACTGAGAAGTTCTGTGCATTGCTGATTTAACTGGGATGGAAGAAAAGAGAACAGAAAGTGTTATAACTAACTGCAGCACCTTGATTTTAAGGCTTTCAATTCAAATCTTAGAGGTGAATTGAATAGGAAAGCTATTTCTATCAAAGCCAACATATGAATAAAACACATACGGTGCTCTTACACTGCTCTATGTGCAGACTTAATTATATTACACAAAACCAAAGTCATTCCACTCTATGATTTAATTTCATTGAAGCAGGAGACCTGCTTGGTTGAGCAGGGAGCTTCTGAAAAAGCTCAAGTGGAAAAAGGAAGTTTACACTACATGGAAGAAGGGACTGACCACTTGGGAAGATTACAAGAACGCTGTCAGAGTATGCAGGGATGAAACAAGGAAAGCCAAGGCCTCCTTGGAGTTAAACCTGGCAAGGGACATCAAGGCCAACAGGAAGAGTTTCTTCAAGTATATCAGAGGCAAAAGGAAAACTAGAGAAAATGTGGGCCCACTGTTGAATGAGGCAGGTATCATGGTGACAGAGGACGCAGAGAAGGCAGAGTTACTGAACGCCTTCTTTGCCTCAGTCTTTACTACTCAGGACAGCCCTCAGGAGTCCCAGACTCTGGAGGAAGGAAGACTTTCCCTTGGTTGAGGAAGATCAAGTTAGAGATCAATTAAATAAATTGGATATCCACAAGTCCATGAGTCCTGATGGGATGCACCCACAAGTGCTGAAGGAGCTGACAGATGTTATTGCTAAGCCACCCTCCACCATCTTTAAAAGGTCCTGGAGAACAGGTGAGGTGCCTGAGGACTGGAGGAAAGGCAACATCACTCCAGTCTTCAAAAAGGGCAAGAAGAATGACTCAGGAAACTACAGGCCAGTCAGCCTCACCTCCATCCCTGGAAAGATGTTGGCACATCTTGTTCTGGGAGTCATCTCAAAACATGTGAAGGAAAAGAAGGTCATCAGTAGAAGTCAATATGGATTCACCAAGGGGAAGTCATGTCTGAC